TGCTTACATTAATATAATGCGTACATTAAAAAACAACTGAGTCTAGAACACTGTTCGTTTGTGTGTATATATATATATATATATATATATATATATATATATATATATATATATATATATATATATATATATATATATATATATATATATATATATATATATATATATATATATATATATATATATATATATATATATATATATATATATATATATATATATATATATATATATATATATATATATATATATATATATATATATATATATATATATATATATATATATATATATATATATATATATATATATATATATATATATATATATATATATATATATATATATATAATGGTTACATTAAAAAAAACAACTATTTTTAAATGAACCTGAATTATATATTAACAATTTATTTTATGTGTGAATAGTGATATTAAGTTGTTAGTTATATAATATGTTAATACTGTGTTTGTTGATAGTTAAATTATTTTATGTGTTAATATTGTATTAGTTTGTAAATAATAGTGTATTCTTATGTGTTTATACATTTTATTTGTTTATAAATTTATTGATGGATGTTTAATATATTGTAATTAAATTAGACTAAAGGTATGGACAAAGCATGGACTAAACTCCCAAGACACTAGAAGAAGTATAGAAAAGGTGTTAAGTCTTTTTTAGATTTTGCCTATACCACAGGAAGACCTCAAGGACGTGAAATTTCTTGTCCTTGTGCTCATTGTGCAAATTGTAAATGGGAAAGAAGACATGTGGTCCGCGATCATTTAATAGCTGTAGGTTTTGTGAAAGGATATGATGTTTGGGTAAACCATGGAGAGGATATACCATCGCCTATGAAAATTAAGAAGGACACAAAAGATCAAGAGAACTCACTTGATGACATTGGTGGTTTATTGTATGACACATTTAGAAATGTGGTTGAAGCAGAGGAAAGTAGTGAAGCTCACAATGAGGATGCGAGAAAGTTCTACAAGTTGATTCATGAGGCAAAACAAGAGTTATACCCCGGATGTGAAAGCTTCTCTACTCTATCGTTCATAATTCGACTTTACTTGTTGAAGTGTCTGCATGGATGGAGCAATGCATCTTTCACTTCCCTTTTAGAATTATTGAAAGAAGCGATTCCAGAATTAAACATTCCTGAATCTTTTAACAAAACAAAGGCGATGATTAGTGATTTGGGTCTCGATTACAAAAAAATTCATGCATGTCCGAATGATTGCATGTTATATTGGAAAGAACACGAGAATGATAACTCTTGCAATATTTGTAAGGCTTCACGATGGAAGGAGTTTCCTCAAGTAGATAGCGAGTCTTCTGAGCATGCAAAATATGACCATAAAGTCCCTGCTAAGATTTTGAGACATTTTCCATTGATTCCAAGATTTCAAAGGTTATTTATGTGTTCAAAGACAACAAAGGAAATGAGGTGGCATGAATAAGAACACTCAAAAGATGGAAAATTAAGGCATCCTTCGGATGGACAAGCATGGAGGGATTTTGATAGACTTCATCATGACTTTGCTTCTGAGCCTCGTAATATAAGACTTGGCTTATCAAGTGACGACTTCAATCCATTCCGGACCATGAGCTTATCACACAGTACATGGCCTGTCATGATGGTAGTATACAACTACCCTCCTTGGCTGTCCATGAAATCTGAATATACAATGTTGTCATTGTTGATTCCCGGGCCACAATCACCGGGGAATGACATTGATGTGTACCTTCAACCATTAATTGAGGAGTTAAAGGAGTTATGGGAATTAGGAGTAGACACATATGATGCCTTAAAAAATCAAACATTTAAAATTCGCGCAGCACTCCTATGGACAATTAGTGATTATCCTGGATATGCTATGTTATCAGGTTGGAGCACCAAAGGAAAGTTTGCATGTGCGTGTTGCAATCATAACACTGAATCATCATATTTAAAAAATAGCCACAAGATGTGCTACATGGGTCATCGTGTCTTTTTACCAATGAGCCATGCTTGGAGGTTAAATAAAAGGTCCTTTAATGGAAAGAAAGAACTTAGGTCTGCCCCTTCTTTGTTAAAAGGGACATATATTTTGGAAACCCTGAAAGATTTTCAGAATGAGTTTGGTAAAACAAAAAAGAAGAAAAAAGATGGTCCATGGAAGAAAAAATCAATATTTTTTGAGTTACCTTATTGGGCTGAAAATACATTACGTCATAATCTTGATGTGATGCACATTGAAAAAAATATATTTGATAATATTATTGGAACTCTTTTAGACATACTAGGGAAGACAAAAGATCACGTTAATGCTCGTTATGATTTGAAAGACATGGGAATAAGAAAGAAGCTTCATCCAAAAGAGATTGGTGGAGGTTGTGCAGAGATTGCAAAATCATGTTTTTCAATGAGTGCACGTGAGAAGACTATTTTTTGTGGTGTTTTAAAGGCTGCCAAATTACCAGATGGGACTGCATCAAACATTTCAAAGTGTGTGCAAGTTAGTAATAAGAAAGTGTTTGGCTACAAGAGTCATGACGCACATTTCATGTTACATTACTTATTACAAGTAGCAGTAAGAGGCACCATGCCCAATGCAGTGGCTGAACCTCTAATTCGCTTAGGGTCATTTTTCCGCTCTTTGTGTAAAAAAGTTATCCGAGAGCAAGATTTAAATTTCTTAGAAGCTGAGATTGCAGATATCCTCTGTCAACTGGAGATGATTTTTCCTCCAAGTTTTTTTGATATAATGGTTCACTTGCCTATTCATTTGGTAAATGAAGTTAGATTGGGCGGTCCAGTTCAATTTCGTTGGATGTATCCCACTGAAAGAAACTTATGCAAGCTTAAAAGTTATGTTCGTAATAGAGCTCATCCTGAAGGATCTATTGCTGAGGCATATTTGGCTGAAGAAGCTTTGACTTTTTGCTCAAGATACTTGCATGACAATGTAGACACAAGGTTAAATAGAAAGAGTCGAAATTATGACAATAGTGACTTGTGTGATGTGGATTTAAGCGATTACTTTTCATGTATTGGTCGTTCCTTATGTGGGAAGAAAAATGGTAAACCATTTTTTCTAAATTCAACTACAAAATCCCAAGCCCACCGATATCTTTTGTTCAATTGTGATGAAGTTAACACATTCATCAGGTACCATAATATATTAAGTTCATTTATAAAACACACACACACACACACGTATTAGTGTTATTTTCTAATAGATGATAAGTTATATTTGTAGGGAGCATGATGATATTGTCAATAGTCAAACTAAAGGACGGAGGTGGGTCAAGGCCAAAACCCAAAGTCACGATTTTAGTGAATGGTTTAAAACTCGAGCCTTGAAAGATGATGTATCAATTCAGCTGAAAGATTTCTCTAGAGGTCCATGTGATACAGCAAAGAGGTTTTCAGGCTACCTCATCAATGGATATAGATTCCATACTATGAAACGAGATGCAAGACACAAAACTCAAAATTCAGGTGTAACTTTGGTTTCATTGACTCCAAGTTTTGCAAGCTCTAAGGATGAAAATCCTAGGATGAAAGCTGTAACTTATTATGGAGCAATTAGAGATATAGTTGAGTTAGACTATTACTCTCAATTCAACTTTGTGTTGTTTGAGTGTGATTGGTTCGAGGTAGAAGAAGACAAATATGGGCTTACTTGTGTATATTTCAACAAAAAATGTTACCAAAATGATCCTTTTGTTCTACCATCTCAAGTGCATCAATGTTTCTATATCCAAGATCCACTTGATGAAAGTAGGCAGTATGTCATGAAAACAGATCCTAGAGATTTATATAGTATGGGTAACCTATCAGATTCAATGGTCCAAGAATCTTATCAAAGTGATCCTTTTGATGGTGAACTTAATTGGGTTAGAGAAGATATACCTGGAATAATTGTTGATAAGCCTCCATCTTTTATTGAAGAAGCAAGATATGAAGATGATTCTGATTTTGACAATACTTTGTTGGACTAGTAGAGTGATGAGGTCTAAGTCATTCATTTTATAGACATTAAAAATGAATGGTAGGAATGTCCAATGAACTCCCTGCGGTGTGATTTCTCAAGGAACATAATCCATGTTCATGAACAACTTTTTGATAGCATATCAATGTTCAACAACTCACTGTTACAATATTATAATTATCTATCTAGCAATTTTCAATCAAATCTTTACAAATGGCTTCCAAATCTTAGAAAACTTTATCCTCATTATGATAAATTTTATGGTAAAATGCTTACTGTCCATTCTTGTCTATCTCTAAATATTTTTTATGTTTAAATATTTTATAGGACAAATGAACAAGGAAGAAAACAAGAAAAATATGAAGTGTAATGTGAAAGGTCAGAGGGGTGCTTCCAGTTTTGAGCTACCACTGGTCAAACAAGTTTTGAATTGGCAAGGAATTTCAACATTAAACTGGAGGAAAGAAAGACCAAACATGGAAAAATATGTGCACCTATAACAGAAGTTGAAGCTCTTAGGAACAAAAAAAATCAGCCATTAAGTACTCCGCAATTCAAGTTATCTATGTTTGCAACAACTACCAAAAAAGAGCCTGAGCCAAAGAAAAATATTTCAGATAATGCAAGTAGGACTAAACTACCTAACACTCATGCTGAAAAAAGTATAGAGAGGGAAGTATCTTTAAAAACAAACAAAGGATTGAAGATTCAAGATCCAAAAGATCAATCTTTGATTTCTAAAAGGAATCAACCTTTAGTTTATAAAATCCAAAATTCAAAAGGACAGTCTTTGTCTCAAGTTAGAAGATCTACGCCTATGCATATTCAGGATCCAAATAGGCAATCCATGAAAAAGACGGTAATTGGAGATGGACCGTTGGAAAGACAACAAATTGCAGAAAACAAATCTCTTAAAAATGACATTTCAAGGTCAAAGGAACAATCCAAGAGAATAGTTGTTGAGATGAGTCAAGGGAAAAACATGAAAGTAACAATAAGGATCAACAACAAAAAAAGAAAATGTTTGGAAATGACATTTCAAAGGCAAAAGATCAACAAAAGAAAATAATAGTGGCTGAAGAGGAATCAATGGCAAGGCAACAAAGTGCTTGCAAGAAGACAAAAAGAAGTCCTTTGTGCCAATCAATGTTAATTAGTGAATTTCTTGAAAAAAATGGAAAAGATGTTGAGAAGGAGATGGAAAACTTAATTGAAGATGAGGAAAACATTGTTTTAGAAGAACAAGAACAAGAAGAAAATGTGGAATGTGAGGGAGACACGGAAAAAAATGGTGATGTTTCATTTTATTTAAGACCAAGAAAATAGTTTATTATTAATTTATTTTATTAGACATATGTGTGTGTGTTTGATAATTTATCTTGCACTATATTGTTTGATGTCAAAACAGGAACAACTAAGAAAAGAACACGGGGACCAACGCGCTGTTTAAAAATATATGCAAGAGATGTCAAAGACCGTCAAGAAGTTACTCTAGATGACTTTGGAGAGCCAATTGGACCTAATGACCAAACTGTTTCTGACTTAGGCTATTTCCTCGGAACTATAGCAAGGAATGCAAATTTTTGTCCATTGATCTATACAAATTTCAAAGAGTTGCTTAAAGATGAAACAGATCCTAAGCATCATAATTATCATATTTAGAAATATATTAATGTATGAGAAGTAAAATTTCATTTTTTTTTAATGATCAATTATTTATAATTGATGACAAGCATTGTTTTATTCTTGCAGACGAAGTTCAACATTCCAGAGAGAGGAAAAAAAGCAGTGTATGCTCGAATAAACGATGCTTGGAGACGCCACAAATACTCTATCAAGAAAGATCATTTTCTAAAGTACTCTAATATGAAGGATAGATTAAAACACCATCCAAAGAGCATATCTGAAGTTCATTTCAATAAATTGTTAGTATATTGGAAAGATACTCATATTCAAGTAAGTTATTTATTTTGCTCAATATACAATTTTTGGAACTGCCTCTAAAATAAATCAGAATTATTTCATGTAATTATTTTATTCTGATACTAATATTTGAAGCGTAGCACACGAGTTGTTAAATATTCCAGAACATTACCTATCAGTAATTGATAAATGCATTAAGCAAGCCAACTTATATGAGTATAAACCATTCATCCAATCCTAAAATTGATTACAAAAACTTCAAATGAATTAGAGCTACAAGCTTCACAGTTAAGTCTAATTGATCCAGTCACTTACATATAGGAGATGATCTTGAAAAGTATATTCAAAATTCATCAGTGCACAGTTTGATCCACAATGTAGTCTTACATTCTTATCCAAAATATGACAGCTATATTCAAAAAGAGGGGGTGCTATTTCTACACCAAAAGTTAAACATGTTACACTTACACCATAGAAAAATACATATTTAACAGTTAAATATACAGTTAATATACACGATAGGGGTATTCATAATGATCAATGATTTGGATACTATGAGTAGGATGGTGAAGAGGCTGAATGATGAGGTGGAACATAGGAAAATGGTTGTTGCTGTTTGTGTGAAGAATGTTGGTAGTAAATGTGAAATGTTGAAGCAGGTTATGAATGAGTTTAGTAATTATGAGAGTAGGTTTTTGGAGCAATTTCAAGAACTTGAAGAACATGTTTACTTGTGCTTTCTTACGGTAAACAAATCCAGAAGACTTGTTATGCAACAAATTATATAGAAAAATTAATGTGATTTTGATAGTTGCTTATTGTTTCAAATAGTTTTTGTTTAATATTCATTTCTTCTATGCACTACAACATCAATTTAAATTCTGTGGTAAGAGATTCTATACATTCAGGTAGTGATCAAACAATTCTTTGACATAGAGAATAACAAAGTTGTTATTGTTGTTTGGTATCAGAAATGAGATTTGAGATGGACCGTGAAAGTGTGTATTGCATTAAGTGTATTAAATTATGTGTTTTTAATGACTGATAATGAATGAAAATGCAAAATTGGTTGTGTTGGTGTTGGTGTGTATGGTGATGGAATAAGTGGTGGCTGTGTTGTTTGTCGTTTTTGGCTAACAATCCAATTTTTGTTTTTTGTATTGTAGGATATTAGCCAAAAGAATGCAGTTAATAGGAGAAAGCAAAAGTTTATGCATCGTGTAGGACCGACAAATTTTGCTAGAATTCGTGCAAAAATGGTATGGTATTTGTGCGTGATTCTCAATAGAACAATGTGTTTTTTCAATCTCTTATTAACTAATATTTTGTATTTTTAATATATGAATAATAATATAGAGGGAAAACAAGGATGGACAAGAAGTCACTCAAGCTGAGATGTTTATTGAAACTCGAAAAAGTCGCAAGGGAAAACAAGTGGATGAGGAAACCCAATTTGTGATTGTAAGTTAAATTATACCCATTTTAATTGCACATGTAGTTTTTAATTTTGTTTAAAATTGATAGTTTGATATATTAGGATAAACTTCAAGAATCTATTGAAACTTCAACTGAAGCTGGAACACAAACATTTCAATCACTGTTTGGAAAAGAAAAACCCGGTAGAGTGAGATGTTATGGAAGAAATGTTACACCATCATTGTTGAAAAAAAATGAAGAAATTTCTTTAATAAAAATGCAATATGATGGTAAAATTTCTGACATGACACAAAAGATGGGAGCAATGGAGGAACTTTTGAAAAGCATGTATATGCAACAAAATCCACATTTAAGTGAAGAGGAAGTAAATGATAACATGAGAGAAGTATTGCACAATGATAATATTCCAACACCACGCTCATCGACATCAACCTATGCTCCTGCTGATCATCAAAAGATACTATAATTGATATTAATTAAAATTGGCATTTATTTTACTAAGTGTTGAGTTGGTATTTCTTTAGTATACTGATTTATGTTGCTTATATCGAGTTCTCCCCTAGGATTAGTTAGTATTTTCTTACCAAATTTTGCTACTAATATGATATTAGTGACGAAACCAAAATCAACGATAACATCATTTTTCAGAGTGTTTGTTTGTTATGTTGGCCTTAGTGTTTGTTTGGTCAGAAAAATGTGCACTGTTAAGTTGAAAATTATAAAGTGAGATGTGTTATAGATACCCACCCACCATAATTTGTTGATTTGATTTAATTAAGTTTCATGTGTATAAACTTGGCATGAACGTGTAAAGTACTTCAAGCTATAGTACTTTATATTGATTCAATAAAAAAAATTCCTCCAAATTTACCTCGTGATTTTTTTGTAAATTTTATTTTTAATTTAAACAAAAATATTTTAATTTTTAATTGTAGATAATATTATGTAATATAGGTGATGTACTGTTTTAGTAAAATTAAACTATAATTTGAATGTTAATTTGAAACATGGATGAAGTGATTTTATGAACTATTATGTGATTATTGAAACATGGATGGATATAATGAACATCATGTATTTGTCTTTAAAAAGGTGGTTTTTTAGTGTTTATATTAATTTATAAAAAAAATTTCTTCATATTTACAGGTTAGAAATGAAGATGATCCTCAAGATGAACAAGATGACGTTCTCCAAGATGACGATAATCTTCAAGATGATGACGATCTTCATTATGATCAAGATGATGACGATCTCCAATATGATCAAGATGACGATCTTCAATATGATCAAGTTGACGGTTCTCAAGATGATGATTATGATCATGATCCTCAGTATAATGAATATGATGAAGACCTTCACTGATACAAATATAGACAATTATTTTTTGTTTTATGGAGTTACATAAACCACCTAATTAGTTTATATTTCAAAGAGTTTGGATTTATGGAGTTACATAAACCACCTAATTAGTTTATTATATTTCAAAGAGTTTGGATTTATTTTGAAAATACTTGTTCTTATATTTCAAAGTGTTTATTACAATTCATCTTATTAATACTTCATATTGATATGTTTTGATTATTTTATACATGTGTTTCTTCTCATTTAATTAATAATATTGACTTATACCATATTAGAATAAAATGAAGGTTTATGGCTGAAATATATCACCATATAAATGAATAGGAAATTTTTTAGTAATTATAACTTTAAGTTTAAAGTTAACATTTAATTACCAAATATTTTTCAATTCATAGGCAACGCTTTTTAAGGGTTGCTTATTAAAAACCGCGGACTTTTCCTAAGTTTTAGGCGCGGTTCTTTAAATGAAATCATAAACTAGCTACGATTTTAATTTGTTGCTTTTTTATAACCGTTGTATATTCATATTTTGGGGACGGTTATTTTGTGTTGTTACTAGAAAACCGCGGCCTAAAACTACAACTAAAACCGTGGAATTTGATGATTTAGGCGATGGTGTTTTGAATCTGTGGTTAAAAATAAAAAAAAACGGTGCTCTAAAGGAATAGGCAACAACCGTTTATTCCACGCGTGATAAACCGTCCCCTAAAGCCTTAGGCTACGGTTATTGCACTTTAGATTGCGGTTTTGAGTTGTTGCCAAAAGTCATTTTTGTTGTAGTGTTAGCTTCTGGAATCTTTTCTCAAGATCACTTAAAGTATTGGCTATATCAAAAATGTTCATATGAAAGTCTTGATTGCTTTCATCCTCTCTCATCTTCAAGTTCTCAAACTTGGTTGTGAGAAGTTGAAGTCTTGATGATTTCACCCTAGAAGCTCCTTCATGCACAGTCTTCAAAATCTCCTAAGCCTCCCTGGCAATAATACAATTCTTGATCAACCTGAAAATGTTCTTGTCCAAAACATTGAATAAGGAATTCAATGCTTTCGAATTACCTTGAGCAAGCTTGTCATCTTCATCATCCCAGTCTTCCTCAGGCTTTATCATACTAGTAATCTGACCTTTCTGATCTTTAACCTTTGGAGGATCCCATCCTTTGACCATAAATTTCCAAGCTTTACCATCCATAGACTTGATAAAGGCCGCCATGCGCACTTTCCAATATTCATAATTGGATCCACCAAGAGTTGGTGGTCTATTCAATATTCCTCCTTGTTTGTCCATTGTACAAGAAACTAACTTCCTTGAATCTCACCCAAATGCAAAGCAGGATGCCTACTTTGATACCAATTGATATTCTAGTATGTAGAACTCAGATGTTCTGAGAGATTTCGAGACATTTGATCTCTGCTAAGAACAATGACAAGAAGCAGTACAATCAAAACTTACAGAAAGTAAACAAACACACGGTAATTGTTAGCCCAGTTCGGTGAAGAACAACACCTACGTCTAGGGGCTACCAAGTCGGGAATGAAATCCACTAGATAGTATTAATTCTAAGCTAAGCAACCTCCAATTTACAACTTATCACTTAATCACTACCCGTGCTTAATTTCTACTTAAGACTCTTCCTAGGTAAGAGGCCCTTCTCAATTCCCTTTCAATCACAGCAGTGACAGAAATTACAACTCAATGTAAACAGTCCAACTCAAGCATCAACACAACACAAGAGAGGCTCACAAAATACAAACCCTAAACACACTAAGCAACAAAGTATGTTCCACACTATTCTTAGGTTAAATCCATCCTATTTAACACCATAAAATAGACTGGACTTGGGCTTCAAAAACGCAGCAATTCTATTACACATAATCTGCAACTGATTCTCCAAAAGAATAGTTTCTTCAATCCAAAGTTTCCTAAAGTGACTCCACACTTAGAAAATGGCATCTTCAGATTCCTACAGAATCTATGATTCCTCAATCTTGAATGCCACCTAGGTTAAATAAATATTCCTAAAATAATCTCAAATCTGGAAGTAAAACATCATAATAAAAAACTGGAAAGCAACTGACAAAGATGTCGAATAATCATGATAGGACATCTCGTCTAACATCTTGATCTTCAGCTAGTTCTTCATGTTAGGACATCTTGTCTAACATCTACATGTAAAGTTAGTTTTACCAAAACCGATGCAACCTCAAAAGCTTGGACTCATCACAATCCCATTCTTTAAGCTCAACTATGATCATGTTCTTGCTGATCACTACTCGCTTGTTCACTGGGACGAACAACTTGTATCCTCTAGTCAAATGATATCCTATCAAGATCATTTGATTGGACTTGTCATCAAGTTTTCTTCTCAACTGATCCGACACATGTCTATGTGCTATGGATTCAAACACCTTCAAATGACTTAGGCTTGGCTTAACACTAGACCATCACTCTTCTGGTGTAATTCCTTCTAGCCTTTTCTTTGATCATCTATTCGAGATGTATGTTATAGTCAATACAACTTATCCCCATACTTCTTTGGGTAGATGCTTGCCTTTCAATATACTTCTCACCATATTCATGATGGTTCCATTATTCGTTTCTGCAGTTCCATTATGTTGTAGAGTGTAGGGTGACACCACCTCAGGCACAATCCCTTCTTTCTCACATAATGCATTGAAATATTTTGACACATACTATCCACTACCACCAGTTCTCAAAATCTGTCTTTCGACCACTTTGTCTTTCGACCATAGATTTAAATTTGGAAAATACCTTGATTACTTCGCTTTTCTTCTTGATCAGGTAAGTCCATAATTTTCGATTGAAATTTTCTATGAAAGTGACAAAGTATCTATTACCTCCATTTTAATTCACCTGGATAGGACCACATACATCAAAGTATATGACTTCAAGAATTTCCTTCGACTTGCTTCCTGCATCCTTGCTGAAGCTATTCTTGTGTTGCTTTGCTTGCACACATTCTTCGCACACTTCATTTGGAATGTCGATTTCTGGTAATCCTAAAACCATATTTCTTCTCTTCAAATCTCGGATATCTTTGAAATTGAGACGGCTAAGTCTGTAGTGCCATATTCATTCATCTCTGCTGGATGCAGTTGCAAGACACTTATGTTCCATCATATTAAGATCAATCTTGAAGGTTCTATTTTGAGACATACGAACCTTCAAGATTAACCTTCCTCCTGAGTCGAGAACTCTCATCATCTTGTCTTTGATCCAAAATTTGTAATTATTTTCGACCAGCTTCCCTATGCTAAGAAAATTACTCTTCATGCCTGGTATTACAATACATTGGAAATTACTGTCCACTTGCCATCTTTCCTCATAATCAGAACATCACGAATACCTTCAGCTGCTAGAGTATTGTCATATGCGAACTTCACCGTGTTCTTCATTGAGGGCTTTATGTTGATAAACCAATATTTCCTTCAAGGCATGTGTGATGAACGTCCTAAGTCCAAGTACCACTGGTCCTTGAATCTCTCTTCATCTCTCGTTGTAACCACCAAAAACATCTATTCTTCTTTATGTTTCGCCAGCTTTGCATCAGTTTCTTGATTCTTCTACTTTTTAGGACAATTACTAGAATAGTAACCATACTTCTTAAAATTGTAATACTGAATGTGACTTTTGTCAGGTTTTCAACCACCACCTCTTCCTCTACCTGCATCGCCACCTCTTTGGTTGCCTTGGTTCCATGATTTTCTTTGATTTGACGAGTTTCCTTCTTGCTGATTTCGACCAATCGAATTTTTGTAGCCTCCTTTTGCTTTGTTGCCATTCTAACTTCCTTTCGTTTTATTTTCTTTTGCTGATTGCGTCTGCAAAGCCACACCACTCTTCGACTTTCCTACAGCTCTTTCAGCCACTCTTTATTCATGATATTCAAGCGTCCCTTGAAGCTCTTCCTTTGTCAATGTTGACAAGTCTTTCAACTCTTCTATGGCTACTACCACGTGGTCAAACTTTGGAGCCAATGAACTCAAGATCTTTGCAACAACTAATCATGATATCAACACTTCTCCATATACCTTGATTTAATTCACCAGCTTTCTAACCCTAGTGAAAAAATCAGTATGCTTTCAC